TAAGGACAATTGACACACAATACCTCTTAAGGGGTATTATTTATTTAAATATAAATAAGTTCACATAAAGTTGTGCTGCAAATCAGTGCTATTTAAATATAAAGTAATTTATACTTTTTATACTATTTACTGTAAGACAAAGCCTAATGAATTTATTATCGGACCGAATAGTTTCATACATTTATTTAACAATTATTATCAAATTTACTTTAATATAAAGCACTTTAATATTATATTTCATTAGAAATTAGTGGCGAATCGACAGAAAATTCTGGGAATTTCTAAAAAATATTTGTTCAACTCATGGCAATAATGCCAATAATGAGCCGCTTTTTAAAAAGCCATTCAATTGTATTGTTTTTTGTGTTCACAATCTCTTTATAATAGAAAGCCTTGAATCAAGAGTTATTAAAATGGTATATCTCTGGTGAGCATAAAAGCAAACAAATTCTCATTTAAAACAAAAACAAAATGTTGTGTTTTTCTAAATATTTCATAATTATCATGTATTTTTGTAAATGATTTCACATATCACTCTAAAATACAGTTAATGCCTCAATAAATCACATTATTTTTTTCGTATTATACATTATTATAAGTTATAGTTATAGGTCTAGAAATGAGAGTCTACTGTATTGTGTGTAAAATACAGATATTGTCAATTAATTGCATACAAATCGGACTAAAATAACAAATATATTAAATTCTAAAAATTATCATTAACGTTTATAAAAATTTTTAAATTTTAAAACTTTAACTTTCATCAATTATAAATTATAAAATAAAATAATATTTTAAACTGTAAGAATACCTTTATTTATAACCGATATTAAGAGCTATAATTGTTATTACTATTCTTAATAACTTATTAAAACTATAATTATATATATTTTTAAATTTAAGAATTAAAATAATATTGAAAAGTAGTCTACAAAGTGTATATTAAAAGACATTAGTTTTGTTTACTGATAATATTTAAAGTGAATAACAGATAACTTGATTGAAAATCAATATCTCATTTATAGATTAAAAGATATGATCGTCTATTAAAATGTAAATTACATTAATTACACAACAGTTAATTTGAATACATTTGAATTCATATGAATGCGTTTTCCTCTACAAGAAGTTATTAATGATTTTACACATCAAAAAACTATTGTTTTTGTAAAAATTATATTAATTCATAAAATTATTTGTTGAATGAAAATCATATTTTGTTTTTCTTTATTAATTTGTTGAATGACAGCAAAGTCTGTGTTCACATATAACTACATCAATACATATACTGTATACAAGAAAATAATAATGACATAAGAATACGGCACTATATAATAAATATATATAAATTTAATATTGATGTATATTTAAATTGCATTAAATTTGATGTTTAAAATATTTATAAGAATTGAACATGAACATTTAATATTCTATAGAAAATGGTATGCATTTGAATGACAATCAAAGACTACTCACACTTGTTGTCGGATTGTGTTTGTGTTGACCGATTCGTTACGGCTTTTTGTGGCGAAGATTTATAAAGTTTTGCTTATTTTAAACCCGATGTCTCTTTCTATCCCTTTCTGTTATTGGTATCAATAAATAGTAATTTTAATTATTTAATAACAACTCAATTAAATGGTGTGCTTTAAAAACACAATTCCGAACCGCTTTAATAGTGGTCTCATAAAACTGGTGAATGATATGATCTATAGTACACTGGAAGCTAAAAAGTATACGTCGGCCTAACCTCTCATTGGTTTACCTGCACTCCCACACAGACTACAGCCTAACGCACAGACAATGCATGCATTTTTCGATATCGAAAACTCTGTTTGGGGTCTGGACTACGATCTGGTGATCACCGCTGCTATCATTCAATTGTTTTATGTCTCCATTTGACGTCCAAATCGATAAACAAGAGACTCAACTTCATTATAGATGTGGTGAATGTGCGGCACATGTGACCAACATTTCATGTCAATAACTTTAAGTTATTTCATATATTCTTCGATAAGTTTCAAATTATTATTGAAACACATTATCCTTTTATTTAATACTCTATTCAAACCTAATTCTCTAATGAACTCTATTTTCTAATCATATATTTTCTTTAACACTTAAATAATGTATTTATTTATAAGATTTTTTTGTTTGATTTGCATTTATTTATCAAGTGATAAGTTTTTGTTGGCTTTCAATTCACAGCGTTTAACAGTAATATTGTAGTTATAGTTAAATATATGCTTTTGATTGTCATATCATAATTATTTGCAAATTCAAAAAATTATATAACACCTGGTAACAATAATAATGATGGGTAAGTTGGAAAAATACCTGCATATAAACCAGAATTTATAAATAAATTGTTAAATAAAATTGTGTTATGGGCGTATTTCGTATTTAGTAAACAGTGAGGGTAAAATATAAGAAAAAGTAGCATGCTGCTTTTATTAGATAAGAATTGAGACGTTGAGTGCATTTTCAAATGTGAATACACTGTGGATTATAGAGAGCGATATGTTTTGTATTGAATTGATTGCAACAGAATTGGCCCAAAATATGAATAACTTTTACAATATATATACATAAAAGCAAACTTACATTGTTTGAAGAGTTTTTGTTCAGGTGTTATACAGCCGTCCACTTGAAGGCCCGGAATTGCCGAGTGTTTTGGTTAGATATGGTATTTGTTTGGTTTTCTGATTTTATTAATTTATATCATTTATATGATTGAAAAATGATTTAATAAACAAAAATTATAACTTGAATCGTGTTATAAAACTCAATTCCGAGGCGTTTTAATAGTTGCCGCTCTCATAAAACTAGTGAATGATATGATCTATAATACACTGTTTGGTAAAAAGTATGCTTTAGTCTAACCTCCCATTGGCTTACCTGAACTCCCACACAGACATACAGGCCTAACAACACAGACAATGTATTTCTCCATATTCTTCAACATCTTCTACCAGAGAATCAGTTGTCGAGTTTGGCCTACAATCTGGTGATCATCACAGCTATGATCGCAAACTCTTTCAATCGTTTTGACATCAAAATCGATTCATTAAACTCTCGTCTCTCCGGCAGATGAAGAGCGCTGTTGTGTCGCATCGTTTCCATTATTGTATTAAATTTTAATTATGTTTTATACAGAATTTATTAAACAAATATTTTAAAGAGCGATATGTTTTGTATTGAATCGATTGCCACAGAATTCAGTGCAACCCAAGTGTCGGAATCGTAACGTTGTTTGTGAGTGACTTCTGTACGCATTCAACGAGTGTTTGTTTACATATAATAATAGGTTTGAGATTTAGTGTGAATTTTGAGTGCTTTTAGTTATCACTCGTATTGACAACTAATTCAATGAAATGATTGTTTGTTTCAGTGATTGAATCGACAAAACAAACAATAATAAGACAATTGATTTGTGTCTCAACACTAAACCAATACATATAGACTGCGAGTGTCTCTCAGTGTCTGTGTCTTCACCGGTGAGGACGCGAAACGATGAATGGTTTGAACCGATTGTGTCGTATTGTCATTGAGTTCTTGAGATCACATTCGGATCCATTGAATGGTGAAACCAATGAACGCAACGTAACGCAAATCATACACAAACTGATCGCCTATTGTCGACAAAACCCGCAAAATGTGGACATTTTATACGACATTGAATTCAATGAATTGCTTTTGAATGCTTTCGATCGCGTCTTGTTTGACGGCCAGAACCGGTCGCGCGGTCTTCAGTCAACCATTTTGGACCTATTGGTGGAGATCTCGTACCACAGGATCAGCGCATATGAGTTGAAGCTATTGTTACGGCTGTTGAAAGAGCCGCGCATTCAACTCGACTTATGTCTCAATGCTTTGCATCGCGTCGTCGGCAACACTGGCGGCGATCGGCTCTCCAGACCCCTGTATTGCCTCCGCTTTCCTGTGGAACCGATACTCATATCGTCTTTAAATGCGGCCAATCCTATCATATCGTCATTTGTGGGCCAAATGCGACACTCAATCATCTATGACTCCAAGACTAAACCCAATCACATGTGTTGGAGCGCCGCAGCCGTCGCCCTCCCGTTACCAGAGCCCGAAGAGCTCTTCGCCACCACTTGTAAAACGTTTTCAATGGCTTTTTGGGTGTTTTTGGACAAAAATCTGGTGTTTTGCAAAAGTAGTGAGACTTCAAACGGACATCATTTGAATGAAATGAACGCAAGTGTTAACAGAAATCATGAATTTAAAGTACACTTAACTTCAATGGCTTTCGAGTCGACGTCTATTGAAATCTGGTTTGACTTTCATTTGCGGCAATTTGTGTGCAAAATATGTAAACTAATTAACGGCCGAAACGTTGTGTACGCGGAAGAAGTGGTGACCACAGGTGGGGATGTGTTGGGCAAATGGCATCTCTTGCGGTTCAACTTCAAAGAAGTTTACCTCAAGAGGTCGTCGTCTTCCCTATTAGTTTCGCTCAGTATTGACGGAATTAGTGAACAGTCGGTGAAATTGATTTACTCGACAACAATCCCAAAACATCCACAATCGGTGACAGTTCTGTTGGGAAGTGTTTACAGCAGTCCTATTGGCTGGAAATGCGGGAATTTAATGCTTTTCCGGAACTCCTTATCGCTTGAGTCGACGTTTTACTTATACTGTTTGGGATCTGATTTCGCAAACTTTTCTAATTGCAAACTCAATGACAAAAATACGTTAATTATACCCAAGAGTTTGTCGGACACTAACTTTGTCGATGTTTTTCCCGCTTTTCGCGATCTTCCGGACAAAAGCCATACATTGGAGAACAACATTACGATTGTTTACAAACCGGTCAGAAGTGACCAGTTTTTAGTGTATCACAAGCCGTCGTTTAGTAGCAATTCATACATTCCGAAAATGCCGTTTCCAATCACATCCAAACGAATATCGGCCACCATTTCGGCCAACACTGTGTCCGACATCACCGAACACAGAGCCCTTGAGTTCGGCCAAACGGACCGACAGTTCTATTACGGCGTCCATAAGGCTGTGTCAGACGTCGGAGGGATCGAAGTGTTTATGTTTCTCTTCGCGCATATCATTGACATAACAAGTGATGAGAAAATGCAATCAAAAGCGTTGGCAATACTGCTTAAAGTGTTTGATTCTCACGTCCAACACAGGGACGCCTTTATTAACCGATACGACGGACTGTCACTCATTGGACTCGTCTTAGAGAACCCGAAGGCGATTATCACTCAATCAATGTTTAAACATTTTGTGCAATTCTCGATCAGTAACTGCGAAAGCGATGCCATAATCACGTCGAGTGAAAGTATGGCCACATTAATAAACTCGTGGAAGGTTTGGCACCGCAATCCTATTACCACCAAAGCTCTCTATCAGACACTATTATCGCTCATTTCATACACAAATCCGTACAAAAGTTTCAACATTTTTCAGATGAGAAACGCAGGGGTTTTGCAATTAATACTATTCATGACACAAGAAATGTATATTCAATTTAATGATCGCAAAGAAGTTCACTTAACGAAAGACTCGTTACCATTAGTGCTGAAAATTCTCAAAATTCTGATCGAAAATCCATTGGATATCTCACTGCTAAACGAGGTCTTTGATTGCCTATTATTACTACATAGGGCTGAGTCCGCATTCATTAGTCAATCGAGAAATTCATTTTACTATTTATTTCCGTCCGTTTGGAACATCGATATGGAGTCGGGATCTCAGAGGACCAGTCAATCAGAGTCGGAAGCGTTTGATGTCGAAGAATGGGAAATCATATCCGAAGAGGAGATCTCTTTGACAGACGTTGTCGTCGATGATTGTCGCGACCAAATCACCGCCGGATTGATATCATTGATCGGAGATGTGATTGACTCGATTGGCAACGATCGCAATATATTGGACAAAGTTGTCGGACCTATAATTAAACTCGAATATCTGATGGTTTTGGCTAATAATAAGTCATTTCGTGTGAGAGAGAGTGTTATGTCTACACTTTACACGTGTATTAAGAGATGCAAATCATCGGACGCTATGAATCAGTTCATTAAATTGAAAGGTTTCCACTTATTAGCCAATCAATTACATCGATATCCCACCTCTTCTAAGCTCATCAACATATGTCTGGCTCTCGCCTTAGGAGTGAATGATTGCAATGATTTGAATGATTTGCTAATTGAAGAGATGTTTGAGACCAATAAAGGCGTGAATGAATGGCAGGTCGAGCTGTTTGTGCCTTTCTTTGCTGTGCTTCCCAAATGTGTATACGATATCTCTTTGAGTCACAACTCGTTACAAGCCTTTTATAGACTGATGCCATCGTTCAGCACATCTTTCCTCAAAGAGCTCTACGAAAACGGTTTACTCGAATGTATGGCAAAAGTCATTATAAGTCATAATTGTTATAAACAAAGATCTGAATCGCAAACCACTGACTCTAACGACGGATACGAAGAGGATTTGGTGTACGAAGACGTGAATTATATATTGCGTGAATTCTCGTCGACATTGTTTTCCAGTTCTGGCGCTAATAATCATCAGATTTATTGCAATTCATTGCAATTCTTTGCACTATTGGAGAGAAAAGCTCAGTCGACCAATAGGTCTGCGTTCAGAGACAACCAAATAGCACTGTTTGAGTCGGCATTTGATTGCATACAGAATATCGCAGATGAAACCAAAAGCATTCCTAATAAACTTTCCAGAGGTTCGTTCATTGGATTAATTGATTGATTAATATATTTAAACCCATTTGTGAACACAATTTAGGCACAAACACAGCCGGACTATTGATGAACATGTTTGAGAACTACGACAGCGGTTCCGTATCGCCAAACAACGAGACCTTCGACTCCTCTTCGTTCACCAGTTTTGACAATTCCGACCGCTTTTCCAATCACTCAAACAAAACACAGCTTCACAACAAAGAAGTTGTCGAACGCTTTAAAGAGTTGATCCCCAAAGCTGTGGATTTTATTTTATATAAAGGTAACTATAAATTAAGAATATGTTAATTTTTTAACCAAATATTTAATTTACATGTTTTACAACTAAAATTACAATTTATATTTGAAACTATTTTTTAAGGAGAAGATTGTATTCCAAGCGATAAAGAAAGATATTTTTCTCTCAGTATTTTACACATATTGTGCCAAATAATGGAAGTGATTCATACGGACAACACTCGTAAAGCGGCCGAAACTCTTTGGACTAATATATTGAGGAATTGCAAGGAAACCATCAAAAGTCAATTATCGAGACTTGTCTTATATCTGATAAGTCCGATGCAAACCAATGAGACGAGACATTTCAGCATATCGTCCATTAATTCGTTGAATTGTTTTCAGTATTTAATCAAATCTAACGAAGAATTTGGATATAATTTTCGGGCATTTGTTTATGATTTAATCGATTCGCTTAACGATAACGAAAAGCTAAAGGATTTGTTTCTTTTACTTAAAGTGATTGATTCTCAGTTAACCAACAATTGTGACAAACATTACAAGAAATTGATTAGCAATTGGTTCCAGAATTTATTAGAATCGCAAAAGAATTACGAAAAGTCCATCGAATCGACAAAAGAGCGTATTTTGAATCGAATGAAGAAATTAAGCCATAAAGTGATCGAAACAGCCATTTGTGTGACACGTTCTGTAGTGGAAGCGCAGAATTTAGAGCGAAAACAATACATATATTCCTTGAAAAAAGACCAAACGAAGAACTTTGAGCTCAAGAAGTCTTGGAAGTGGTTAACGGATCAGTTGACACACGAGAAGGCCATCTGGTATTTTGCTAATAGTTATCCCAATTCGTGGTCATTAGATCCCATCGAAGGTCCGAACCGTATTCGCCGCAAACTGAAGCGCTGCTCATTGAATATCTCCGACCGATTCTTCTCCGATCCGACCACTCATAAGAAGTCAAAACAATTGCTTTCGAATATCTTTAGCTCCGATTCGTTCGACTCTTCAGTACTGATCGACAAACTTCACGCAAACGAACGTATAGTCTATACGTCCAACGCATCCATTATCACACCAGATGAAGAATTTCCGGGAGAAATACTGGTCAGTAATTCGTGCATTCATTTCATAAGCGAAACCAAGAAAACGGATCCAATTGGAGGCGACAGTCAGACAAAAGTTTTACCATTCGATGAAATACAAGAATTACTGAGAAGAAGATATCAGTTACAGAACAACGCGTTGGAGATATTCCTGACCAATGGGTTAACGTATTTGATATCATTCGAGACCAACGATAAGCGCGAAGAATTCATGAGTCAAATACTAGCGAAAAATTTGCCAAATGTTTACGAAACCAAATGTTTGGTCGCATTGACACAGATGTGGAGAGAGAGGCAGATCTCGAACTTCGAGTATTTGATTCATTTGAATAAACACAGCGGCAGAACATTCAACGATTTGATGCAATATCCCATCTTTCCGGCCATTTTAGCCGATTATGAGAGCCCTGTGTTGGACTTACGCGACCCCAAGTCGTACCGCAATCTCTCCAAACCGATTGCCATACAAATGAAAAGCCGCGAAAAGTATTACATCGATCAATACAATTACCTGAAGAATGAATACGACCGGAGCGGAGACACCGGCGAGTATATGATGGCCGCCACTACCGCACCATTTCATTACGGCGCCCATTACAGCAATAGCGGCACTGTTTTGCACTTCTTGGTCCGTTTGCCGCCGTTTACGCAAATGTTTCTCAACTATCAGGACAACAACTTTGACATTCCCGACCGTACGTTCCACTCGATGGCCACCTCTTGGAAGTTGGCCACAAGTGAGTCCACCACAGACTTCAAAGAATTTGTTCCCGAGTTTTTCTTTTTGCCCGAATTTCTGGTCAATAACGAGAACTTCAATTTCGGTGTCCGACAGAACGGCCAACCCGTCCATAGCGTTCAGTTACCCGTTTGGAGTCGTTTTAATGCCCGACTCTTTGTGCTAATCAATCGACAGGCGCTCGAATCCAATCACGTCTCACAAAACCTCAATAAATGGATTGATTTGGTGTTTGGCTTCAAGCAAACGGGTAAAGCGGCCGTCGACGCCATCAATGTCTTCCATCCGTCCACTTATTACGGAACCGACGTCTCGAAGATTGAGGACCCGTTGAAACGGACGGCCATTCAGACGATGATTAAAACGTTTGGTCAAATGCCTAAACAGTTGTTCACGAAGATAGCGCACCCGGGTTTGGCTCAATACGTCCAGTTGCCACTCGAGACCGATGTCTGCGAAACGATGCCCGAAGTGGTTGGCATCAAATGGGGTTCATATGTGGGCTCGCCGTCAGACCCGGAGCCCACAGTCCTCTGGAAGAAGAATTATTGCACCAAAATAAGTCATTTGATTGCATTGACGACTAACGACGTGTTCGCAATGCCCCCCAACTCTAGTCTATTACTTACTTATAGTCGCCAAAAAGGCGGTGCACTCATGAATACCTCTTACATCACATCAGCGGCACTGTGTTTGTGGTCAAAACAGGACTCCACTCTCAAAATCAAAGCAGAGTCAACAACACTGCCCTTCATTGCGGCCAATGTTCTCTTGGATGAGGTTTGCATTTAATTCACGCTTTAAATTAATTTATTTGATTTTCTCCTATAATTACTGTTTAGATAACGTGTTGTAAATCAGTGCCGAATTACGAAATATTACTTATCGGCTATTCTTCGGGAGCTGTGATCGTACACGAGATCGAACAGCCCATTAAGGTTTGCCACAAATATATTGATTCAAATTATTATTTTATAATACAATTTGTTATTTACGATTGGATTTGTAGTCAACGCAAAAGATTAAACAGAAAAGGTCTCAAACAACACTTTACGGTCACTCGACTGCAATCACTTGCATAGCGATCAACAAATCATTCAGTATTGCCGTTACGGCTGATATGAGCGGCGTTTGTATAGTTTGGGATTTGAGTCGCTTTTATTACGTGCGAACACTTTGTGAGCATAAGTTTGCCGTCGATTTACTGGCCATAAGCGAGACATTGGGTGATATTGTTTCGGTCAGTCATCACAGCGACCGACAAATGGAGTCCATCTTTTGTGTGCACACTATTAATGGAGAACTTGTGGGACAAGTGGTAACCGACACTCGAATTACAGCCGTTTGCTATTCAACAGCACCCGAAGGCCTGTCTGTGAATGTGATCGCAACCGCTTTCATCGACGGCTCCATTAAATTGTGGAGTTCTTGGGATTTGGCACCCGTTCGACAACTTCACGCTTACATCGATTTACCCATTAATTGGTTTGTATTCTTTTTGCGTTATAATCAAGCAATTGATTGATTGATATTTTGTTTTACAAAACAGTATTACGTATTCCAATGATAACCAACTCCTATATGTGGTCTATAGTGATAATACTGTCATCGTATGGGAAAATGGCAATAAAAAGGGCTCTCGTAGTCCAAGTCTTAGCGTTTTATGAACAATATTATTATTAATTATTAATTGAATGGAAAATTATATATATTTTTATTGAGAGATGTTTTTATTTTTATAACTATTTATTAATCAGACGTTTTATTATAGCCATTCATTTGTGATAAATATGTATAAAATTGTTAAATATATTTTTACAATAGAAAATAATGAGTTTTTAAAAATGAATAAAAAGTGTTTATCAAGCCTTCAAACGTGTGCCTCTTCTTGTTGTGCCTCCACTTCCACTAACTGTTGTTCCCGATTCTCATACGCGTAGAAACCGTTTATATCGATCAGTATATTCATCACAGTCTCCGCCTGACCGCTACATTACCCAAACGTTCACATCAATGGTTTAATGCATTTTATGACAATATAATGATACCAAAAATCTTACCACGAAATAAGGTCTTCAAATGTGATTTTTGCCATCTCTAGGGGTCGAACCATATCGAAGATCTCATTACACACGTCATCGAAGTTAAGCGGTTCCTGTCCTTGTAGTCTCATTTGTTCCTGAATTGCCTGTTATTTTGCAAATCATTTTATAATCAATGCTTTTCTCATTAAATATATATACCTTAAAAAAGTAGTTAATAGTAAACGAATCGATAAACCGTTGACTTTTGATATCTAGTATTGAAAACAAGAAGTATATGGACTGAACTTCTTTGCGATTTTCCAGAGCTAACACTATATCCACAAAAGTCTTAAAATCCTAA